GCCAAAATAGGTTGGAATATCTAGTTCATTGGCGTGAATATGATATTGGTGAATGCACATGGAAGCTAGCAAAGAATTTTGCAAATGCAACAAAGAAAGTTGAAGCTTTTCATTGATGATATCTATCAAAACTAAGATGAAGAATAGCAAATTTTGCTATAAAAGAAGTAATATCAAAAGAAAATAATACTCTACTTTCTATCTTTCTTTGTAGCTTATATGTATTTGTAATGCTAAGAAGGTGGAGAATCAACAACCAACAAATTCAATTCAAGAGCTTTTATTTGCAAACTTACAAAATGAGATATTGTAATTATCACAACCTTCAAGACAACAAAATCAAGATGAAGATCCTCAAGAACAACATGTCATTTCTTGAATAGATGGCAAGTTATAATGTGTTTGGTATCATGACATTAGAAGAGACTCCCAATATTTGGTGATTTTATTAGAGATAGAAAAAACTTCTAACAGTATTCTAAATGTTTTATTTGAAAGAAGTTATAAAAGCCTCAACAATGACAAAATAACAGGGTGGTCTTTTCACCCTGGTATGAGACACTATCGAGGGCTGAGAAGACCTATCAACTATCTTTAAAGGAAACAAAGATCAAAATATATGGCAAATATAATTTGCTGCATCTTAGATTTCTTCAATATATGAAGACTGCTCTTTGTGGAACTTGTCCCTAGAAGGAAAGATAATGTCATGGATATACATAGATACATTAATAAATACCTATATGATTAGATAGAAGTAGGTAAAAATAGATAAAAATAGATTAATTTCATAATATCTTTTAGAAAAGCTTTCCAAAAACTTCATAGACAATGCTTTGATTTTATATGTATTTGTAGTTAATTGGTATATTAGAAACTTAGTCAAAAAGTTAACCACATATTGGTAGCTTATAGAACAAGTTAACTATATAGCATACATATAAAAAACTTGCCTTTTAAGTTAAGATACATATCTTACAAAGTCAATACGTTTTAGAGGTCCTACAGGACATTGCTACGTAGCTTCTACGATGCATCAAGAGTATATATGGAGATAAGAGTAAAGCCTTCTTCACTCTTGTCAATGCCTTTCTAGTCTTTAGTCTTATTTTAAGACTTTTTAGTCTTCTTGTCTTTGGCAATAGCCATTCTAGTTCAATAATATATCATTTTTGAGTGACTTTTTAGTTCTTTTTAATGACATAAGAGTGTATTGAGGATTTTTCTTCTTGAAGATTTATGTCCTTGATACAAACTAAAAATTTGATAACTATAGCTAAAACAAATGAATTTTATTTTCAAAACAAAATCTCAATGGTAAAATTTTGTGTTAATTTTGTGATAAAATGTAAACATATAATTTTTACACCTACATCACCTCAAAGTCTGATCAACTACTAAGATGTGAATGTCAATAGTTATCACCTCTCAACTACAATTTTACATAGGTATGAAGTTTTGGTTATTGAAAAAACCATTAAGTTGTAGAAAAAGTCTTTGTTGTGATAAATGATTTTTATTGGATTATAATCTGACCTCCTATTATATTTAATTTTGCATCATATATCACAAAGAGTTACATTACTCGCTAGCATGAATAATTCAAATATCCAAGATTTACATTATTTTAGAAGATAATTGCATATATAATTGAGTATAATTTATAACCTATAGATGTAGATTCTATAGAATTATGTTGTATATATATACAAGATAAGATGATTACTCTGCCTTCAATTTAGAAAATCCCACAAGAGTTACCACTAATTCTTGAAAGATTGTATGGTGATATTTGTGGTCCTATTAATCCAATATCTTGACCATTTTATTATTTTTTGGTCCTTATATCAAGCAAAAAATCACATGTTTCATTATTATCAATCCAAAATATGGTGTTTGCCAATCTTATATCTATATTTATTTATTTTCAAGCATATTTTTCTAATTATCCTATCAAAACATTGTGTATGGACAATACAAAAGAATTTGCATCAAAGTCCTTTGAAGACTATTGTACTGCAATAGGGATTGAATTGACATATTGTATTCCATATGAACATGCTCAAAATGGACTTGCAGAGTCATTTATAAAGCATATATAATTCATTATCCAACCACTCTTTCTTTAGGAAAATTTATTTGTATCTATGTGAAGTCATGGAGTTTTGCATGATGAAATATTAATATGCCTCCGTCCTTCTTTTCTTGAAATTATTACACCACAAGAATTTATTTCAAGTTGTGTTATAAATATATCTCATCTACGGGTGTTTGATTGCCATGCTTGGATTCTAATACTAGAACCTCAATAGTATACCATTGAAGCTCATGAACAAGTAGGCATATATGGTGGTTTTGATTTATCAAGCATTATTTGTATTATTGATCCATCAAATGAAATATTATTAAATGCATATTTTTAAAATTACCATTTTGAAGAGAATGTATTTCTAACTCTTTAAAGAAGAATATTTAATCAACAAAGAAATATAATACTTATATTTAGAGTACCAAAAATATTTATAATGAATCTTGATTCTAAAACATCTTTAGTTGAAAGTGAAGTTGCTAAGATTTTATATCTAAAACACATTGTAAATAAAACACCTGATAGCTTCAATGATGAGCCTTGAATTATAGGAAATCAAATTAATGAGGCTCAAAATGAACCTGCTCAAATTGCAATACCACTAACAAATATACCTCAGGTTGAAACATCAACAATTAAAAAGACTTGTAGACCAGATAAGCAACCACAAAAGAAGAAAGCTATAACATGTAGTGATTCTGGTATTGTTTTTGTAGAAGTTTCTACTAAACCTATGGAACCATCAATTAATGATAATATGTCCATGCACATTGTACCTTTATCTTATGCAATAAAAAATCTTGAAATTAGGAAGAATAAAACCAAATTGAATACAATATTATTTGTTCTGTATTATGCTACAAATGACCTTTGGGATAGACCATCTATTATAATAGATGAATCATTTTTATTCATGATTTCAAAATCTCTTTTTCATAAGAAAAAAGATCCTAAACCTTAAATCATTTAAGAAGTAATACTTCACTTTGAATGGTTAAAATGAAAAACTGCCATTGAGAAAGAATATGTTTCTTTGCATAAGAGAAAAGTCCTTAGTTCAATTGTGGAGACTCTTACTTCTTGCCTTGTGGGATATAAAATAGTATTAATATAAAAGCAAGATGCTAAGGATCAAATAATTCCTTGTAAAGCTCATCTTGTTGCTCAAGGATTTACTCAACGGTTTAGTAATGATTATGAATCCATATATTTTTCAATCATGGATTCAATTACATTCCAATATATTATTAGAATGGCAGTTCATGCCATCCTTGAGATGTGTTTTATGGATGTAGTAACTGTGTATTTATATGGTTCTCTTGATACAAATATTTATATGAAAGTTCTACTTGATTTAGAAACAAGAAATCCAAATGCACTTGCTCTAAGGTGATATTATGGTATTAAATTACTTATGGCCATGTATGGTCTAAAATAATGTAGATGCATGTAGTATCAATGTCTTCAAGTTTATTTAATTATAAATAAGTTTGTAAGTAATCTATTAATCCTTTGTTTGTTTATGAAATGAGATAAAATTAGATTTGTGATCATCTCTATATATATTAATGATCTTAATCTAATAAGTATTAGATCTGCATGCGTTGCAACTAATAATCTATTTATCTATGAATTTGAGATGAAAATGATAGGAAAAATAACTTTTTGCATTAGTCTTCAGATTATGCATTTCATAGATGGTAGCATTTTTGTGTACCAACTAATGTATATTAGATAAATCTTATAGAGATTCAATATCATTGATGCTTATCCATTGTCAACACCAATGGTTAGATGTGGTTGTGATAGTTATGATCTATATTGTCCATACAATGAAGAGGAGGAAATATTGGGAGAATAATATCCATACCTTGCAGTGATTGGAGCACTTTTATATTTAGCCACATCTACAAGATCAAATATTACATTTGCAGTTAGTGTTCTTGCAAAATACAATGCACATCCAATACTATGACATTGGAATGGCATCAAATATTTACTACATTATTTAAAAGGCACTGAAGATTTGGAATTATATTATACACAATTTGCAGATTCAAAATTAATTAGATATCCTAATGTAGGATATAAATCTGATATTGCAATAGCTAAATCTCAAACAAGCTATATATTCTTAAGACATGGAACTATAATAGCATGGAAATTAGTAAAACGAACTATAATTGCAACTTCATCCAACCATGCAAAAATTATTGCCTTATATGAAGCATCTTAAGAATGTATTTGGTTGCAATCAATTGATAAACTCATTCAAACAACCTATGGACTTTCATATGATGATTCTCCAACTATCTTGTATGAAGATAATAATGCTTGTATTGCACAGATACAAGTTGGTTTCATTATAGACGATAGGAGGAAGCATATTGATCCAAAGTATTTTAGTTATACCGATGACTTGGTTATTGATCAAGTACTTAAAATCAAAAAAATTGAATATGCAAATAATCTTGCTAATCTCTTCACTAAAGCTCTCCCTTTGTGCAACCATCATTGACTTACTTTTGACATTGGCATGCAGCGACTTGCTTTTCTTGAGCAAGAAAATTAATGAATTCTTGAGATAATGTTGTACTCTTTTTCTTTTATCTATGATTTTGTCCTTAAATATAATAAGATTTTTGTAGATAAGGTTTTAATGAAGCAACAATTATTGATCTTACAAGATTACAAAATATATATATATATATATATATATAGATAGATAGATAGATAGATCATAATTCTATGCATATAAAATATTATGATGAGTGAGGAATGTTGAGAGCATTAAATGTAGCAAGAGCTCTCCACACTATTTACTGTACTCTACAGTAAATAGTGTAGCTACAATGTTTCAGTGTTTTGAATCTACTGGGGAGAAACCGTTTATCTTCTCCTCTGTCTAAAACATTCTAAACACTGTTAACGATCGATCCATTGCTTCCTTGGTCCCACTTACAGTTCGTGCTGGATCGTCTGTGTTTTAAAGTTCGTGGATTTTACATTTATCGATTATAATCTCTCGAATGGAAGGACGAGAGACAACGGTCGGTAACGATGAGATGAACGCGGGGAAGAGCGTCGTTTCGGAGGGATTCCGGGGGCGCGTGTTAATTCTGACTTGTTTGACTGGGTTTTAAGTGTTTTCCTTATTATTACAAGGATTGTTTTCTGGTTGAGTTAAGCAATTGGCCGAAGAAGTAACCGATTGGCACAATGGGTGAACCGGTGCGGGAGCCGTCAATTGTGTCCGTAGAACCGCGCATGCGGAGGCCTTCGTCAATTGCGGAAGCATCTCTGCGAGGGCGAAGAGTATCTGTTGTTGCAGCTGAAAAAGCCTCTCTCAGTAGAAGGCAGTCTCATGCTGCATTTCTTTCTATGGCACCGGGATTTACAGAATATGTGGTCGAGCACGTTGTTTTGTTTAAGGTTAAAGATGACGCGGATCCAGCAGAGAAGAAAGCGATGTTAGATGCTTTGCATGAGCTTCGCAGCCTGAATGGAGTGCTGGAGCTCACTGTCGGTTCAGCACTCTCGGTAATTGACAAGGAATTTTTGGGCTTAGCAATTGGACACGGAAATTAGGTCAGCGGATCCGCGGCAAATGGCGACGGCCACTGCACCTGTTTTAGAGATTGTAAAGTGCCATGCATGCCGCCGAGATTCCAACCTTTCTATCACGATGTATTTCGCAGAGGAGACTGCTCTTTTTTTTGGCATTAGGCTAAAGATTGATTTCTCAGTCCATTTTAATGTGCAGAGAATTGATGTAAATTTTTCTTCAGTGGATTAGCGATTCATTGGAGAGAAAAATGTTGAGTGATCGTCCATGGTCTACAGGTTGTGTTCACATTGAAATTTGCAGGTCCAGGGAGGCAAGTATACGCATGTTTTGCATGGGCGTTACAAAGACAAAGCAGCTTTAAAAGTTTACCTAGTACATCCTGATCATGTCAATATTCAACAGAAGTATATTCAACCTTTGACTGAGGATATTATTGCGTTGGATTGGGAGTGCATCCCTTGTGGTCCATACATTAAAAGCGTTGGGGCCAAGCGCATCACTTTTGTGAAAATCAAACCAGAGACTACAGCAGATGACATGAGGTTCTTGGTTGAGTCGATATCACAACTACCCTCTAAGTACGTCAACACTCCCAGTGTCTGTGTTTTTTGTTTTGGGGAACACAACATACTGATTTTATGGAAGAAGATGAGGCAGGTCAAGATCATGAGCAATGGAATGCATCTTGTTTTCAGGAGCAGACTTTTACATCTTAATTCATGTAGAAGTTCTTCTAAACCTTCCTGCATGCCACCATAACATCAAACAATCTTTCAATTGTAAATTCAGTATGAAGTTGGAACCATTTGGCAGGTGTCCCACGGTCGGCCAGGCAAGTGCAGGCAGCAATTTCTCACCGGAGAGAGCCAAGGGTTTCACTTATGGGATTATGGAGTTTTTCCCCAGCACACAGGAGGAGGAGGAAGTATATTCCAGTTGTGAGCACATGGCATGGCAGGACACAAAACTTAAGCCCGTTGCAGCAATTCTAATCCATGCAGATCTTCATGTTGGGGAATAGAGTTCAGATTCAGATCCTAGTCCTCAACCAGCAGTTTAAGCATTAACAAGGCGTTGGAGTGATTCATAACGTTTGAGCTAACGTCTGATCTGATCAATGCATTTACAACAATCCGTAAGATTATGATTGAGCATTCCAGGGTAAGAAACAGCAGAAGGTTAAAGAAGAGGATACTGAAGTATGCTGACTTGTACATTAGTCCACACCCTCTGGCCTGCTTCTCCAATATGTGTGGTCACACGTGTTAACAACTGCGGCATCGCCTTGTCATGTCTCAAGTGTCAAGTTGAAGAAACTTCTGGATACGTAGGCTCACCGAAGATTGTGCATTTTACACCCAGACACAATTCTCCACTTTGAAGATAACGATTACTTTGCTTAAATCACAGTTATTGAAGAATTCCCAAACAATTGCAGAATTATTTTCAACTCTGCCAACATGAACTCTAAGAAGCAGTTAACAAGCATGAACATCGACATACTGACACAGAGAAATCTGAGATTCACTACGGACTTCACAAGCTCTTGCACAATTGTTTCAATATGTGGATCAAAAACACAGTAACACAGTAGATCTCACTTGAGAGTGCCCTAGAATCAGAGCAACGTTCCATGCTACCCTAAAGGATCTGTTGATCATCCGCACAAATCCCTGTCTCTGCGTGCAACAACAAGACGTGGTCGTGGGCAGTGCGAATTTGATAGCCGGAACCATGGGCCAAGATGAACATTCCGATATCAAACTCATCATAATCGGGTGCTAGTTCAATGCTGGTAAACACACATCTTACTCACATACGCATTTGTAGCCTTAAGACAATCAAGACCAAAATATGGTATATGCAATACTGTGCCATATATGCAAAATAATAGCACAATAGTACATTTCGTCCGTCTCAAAGCAATACCCTCGAGTTACAGTCCGAGAAGAGATTCCTGCTGTTCTGCTGCCACACTAAGAGACGGTTGTATCAATCTGTAGAAGGAACTTAATCAGTCAGGTACACCTTCGAAGAGATCCACAAAGGGACCTTATCTACAGACAGCCAAAAGCCTCTATCCGTCATCTGAAGTCTAGAAGGCAGTTGAATAGTCAACTTTTGATGGGGCAGAGAAACAGTGGTGACGCTTCGGAAGCATGTTCAAGTGCACATCTTCTCCTGAGCAGGCTCTCCGAAATTTTCTCCAAAATTCTCCTGGGCAAGGTGACATCAAAGCTGCGTGACATCAATTTGATGAGGATAGTTTTGGTACAAGAGGAAATGACAACATACCAGCAGAGATTATTTAAATCAGGGAATGATCGAAAACTTACAATATCTTGATGCTCAATGCAGCAACTGAAAGCACCTCACTCATCATCACTGTCGTCGTCCTCGTCCAAATCCCCGCTGCCAAAGTCGTAGCTAACAGGTTGCGCAGTACGTCTCCGAGTCCGTGAAGGCAAAATATTGTCTGGATTCACTTCGTCTAGGGGGTCCTCCGACAAGTCACTGTCATCATCCTCGGCACCGTTCTCCGCATCGCTGTCGTCGCTATCCGCTTTCTTCTTCCCCTTCATCTTCCCCTTCCCTTTCGAGTCTTTCGAATGGGTTGGCACCACAGCTTTCCCTTTTTTCGCAGAAGAGGATTTGATTGCTGGCTTTGCAGCAGGCCTCTTGGCGGACTTTTTCGGCGCACCAGAATCCTCTGAGTCCTCATCCCCAGCGTCGTCCTCGTCCTCCTCGGACTCCCCAGAAACATCCTCTTCCTCGGACGTGTCGGAAGCGCTGTCCCACTTCGTCTCCACTTTCTTCTTCGCAGTCGGCTTCGCCTTCACCTTCCCCATACTGATGGGCTGCGAGCTTTTCTGCACCTTGCCTCCTCCCAATCCCTTCACATCTTTCCTCCCTGGAACCGCCCTCTCTACGGCTACTTCCTTCGGTTTTTTCCTCCCTCCCGCCTCGTTATCGGCTTTCCGCTTCGCCGCCATGGCCTGCAACATTTTTTTCTTGTCCTCCGACATGGCTGCAAAGTCCAGACCCAACCTGAAAAAAATCACAAAATTCACAATACCGTCGAAACGACTCAACTCGAGGTCGTTACCGTGGCCCCTCTCACCTTTCTCCAAGCGCCAAACCCCAACCCTAAAACCCTTTCCAAAGTCCCGTTGCCGCTCCCTGCAGTGGGACGCCTGGCTGCTCCCTGTACGGAGCTACCGGACGGCTCCTTTGTCCCGCTCCCCTTTCCAAGCTTGCTTCGAGTATGCAACCACTACGAGCGCTAGTTCTGAGCTTGTACAAGCGTGGTCTGTCGCATGATATTCTGCATAGTTGGCCGAATCTAACAGTATCTTTACGACCGACTTGAGGTTAAGAGCCGTTGGAGACAGGATGGTCAGACCGCTCGGTTTGGCTCGGCTTGCCTGCAACCTCTCGGTCGGTTTCGCTGTATAATTTTTCTAGGATACGTTCGCAGGTAACTATTTAAAGTCCAGAACCCCCGAAGTGAACAGCTTTTTCAAAAGTACTGTAAGCTTTCGGTTTACACATTGTCGGTTCGAGTTGCTTGCCAGCAACGATCGTAAAAAACGAGGTGAAAATGGGACGTAGCTACGCAACGCGTAATAGCAGTCCACTACCCGGGCACAGACTGACCATACCAACTGGTTTCAGGATTCACTGGGGACACAATCTGAACAAGTCCGAGGAGCATGGAACGGTAGCAAACATATCACGGTGTCAATTTTTGAAATTACTTAGAAAGCGTTAAGCAATATCAACAAGCCTCGTCGCATCTCGCAATGTAGAACAAATCTCATTAAAAAGCTTTCAAGACCTGAGGTGAGAACTTCAGAGACTAAGACATGAGCAGATATAAAGAAAAGAGATTCAGCAAAAGTAACATTCAAAAATAGCATCAGTATGTGTAAGAGAGTCGCAGACATGATCAAATTCAATGCGGGATTTAACATGAGCAATTCAGACGAGCTATCTGTAGGTGAATAACTATTCAAATACGGAAAAAATTAAAATTTAATACTTTCTATTGTGGCAATACCTAGGCAACACGCTCAGCTTCTCAGTTCATCATAACCGCAACAACTATTTTCAAGTCTCAATATCAATCTCAGACTACGAGCTTTTATGCATGATACGCAACCTCTCACGCACTAGCCATATTATGTGCACCCTTCCAATTAAGAAACCCTCTGTATTTCTGGAGCATAAACGTCATTTTCTCAACATTTTCCACTTACCCTAGACTCTTGTTCCTGACTAATACACGCGAAATAACTGGTGGATACATCGATTTCACTCTTCGACATCTTAGTGTGGAGGCATTAATCAGATGCCATGTCCCTGCACGATGGCAGGTTTATCCATTTCCCAACCACCCCAAGCCGCTGTATTGCAGGAACTCCCATTGCGGACACGCATATGCTCCAGACCGGCAATCCGTTGCATTGATGGCGAACGCCATATCTTACCCCCAATGCTGCATGGATGCTGTTGTTGCTGATCGTAACGCATCATTGAGCTGTGCCTCATTTGCTGCGGAAGTGGTCTCTCACTTATCATGATCGGGGAGATAAAGCTCAAATTGGAGTCAGGAATGAAATTTACCATAGGTTGACCCTGCTGGGCCACCATACCTTCTGTCATTTTCACCTGCACACCAATACAGCGGAGACTATGACTTGAATCCCTCTTCACATGGGAACCAGAAATTGCATTCATTAGCCCTAGACTTAAGTTGCTTTGAGGTCGATTTACCCATGATAATCTGCAAATAGCTTGAAAATAGAATCTCAAAAAGTGGACGAATACCTTGGCACGCAACGCTTCAACATCTGCCTTCAGAATACGGTTATCAACAGATGCATCTTTGTGCATGTAAGTGATCTCTTGCAATCTTTGCAGAAGCGTGGAATTTTCGGCCCTCAATTGCGCAACCTGCAGCAGCATTTCACCCATATATGCATTGTGAATGGAGAACAGCTATGTCAAATAGATGCACAAGCTCACATACAATGCAATCACTCTAGCACCAGATGTAAATCTGGGCACTGCAAGGTGAGAGAATATGCAATTAAAACGGGTACCGCAGCTAAGAAACACAGCTGTCGCCCTACAAATTCAACATTGAAGTGAAACACGCTTCCCAGGAGAGCGAACGATTTGGCATTACAAGTAGACGTTTACATCCAGTTTAGAGTTTTCACATTAAACGAGATCATAAAAAAGCACGCTTTCTGACCTGCGTTTCTAGGTCACTCAAGTGCGCCTGTTTCTTTCTGCGTGAGCGTCTCGCAGATTCACGATTTGAAAGCATTCTGCACCACGCAAACAGTCACTTGAAATCCAAACAATCCAAGCGCCTTACGAAAAAGGCTTGGTGGAAAAACTCATCCGGGATCTGGACGCCAACTTCAATTCCTGATAACAAGAAATACACTTTACCTTACACCAAGCTTCTCGGATGACATACCTCTTTACACGCTTAAGGTCACCTCGTGATAAATTTTCATTCAGCATGTCATGTTCTTCGTCATCAGAAAGTTCTGAACCGCTGGTGGTAAGTTTGAGCTTCCAGGTTGATGCGTCCACTTCAGGTTTTGGCGACGACGGCTTAACATCCACACGTGCACACCGAACTTTGCTTGCCAAAGTGCTAGTGGCTGTCAAGTACGAGCACTAGGTTAGAATGATCCGCATACTATTTGAACAACATGACCGTAAAAAATATCACGCAAAACTCTGAGTACTCGCACAAGTGGCAGTGTACAGGAACAGTGACAAACATTCTGAGGGTAAAAATTCACATTACCAGATAATTCGATCGCAAATTTCGTTCGCGAAGTACCTTCATTACGTCCTCCCTCGCCACTCACCTGTTTCCATTATCCCCGAAACCAACTTGTTAACTATCTTGAAACATACTTAACCATAAATCAACACCATCCATCAATCAGGATTCCATTCTTAATGTCTGCAAAACAACAAAACTCGAAAAGATGACACACGATTATCACCTAAACTAAGTCTAAACTCGAATATATACTTTAAACAAATCATGTCTAGGAGAACTTGAGGGGGTACGCACTCTGGAGAGAGCCGCTGCAGCGCACGCCATTGCCAACTTCTGTTGGAGAAAGACCTCATATTCCTGGCTGCTGGAGTCGCCCACGGATGCTGCACCAGTGGAGAAAGTCGAGTATATTCTTTCGGCGTCATCTTGAATAACAGAAAACATGGGATTTAGCGCATCCTCAATCACCACTGCGTCGTCGACCTCGACAGAGTTTAAGGCGTTGTTCATGGGTAGGAGGTCCTCAGCACTCGCCAACATGAATGGAGTAAACTCTGAACTGAATCTTCCCGACATTTGAAGATTGTAAGAGCTCTGTTCATCGTGATCCCGCATCTCATTGGACTGAGATTTTTGAAAGCGGTTCTTTGGGCAGTTTCCTCCGCAGGAAGCAGCAATCGTGTTCTCCTTAGAAAATTCTTGGAAGGAGAATTCATAGGCACTACGATCCATGCCGCTCTTCACCAGAGTAGCAGCAGACGATTCGCCCCAGAAAGTACTCAGGAAGTTGTCAATGGAAGAGGTGCGATCCATATCCAACGTGGAAATAAATCAGCGAGGTATGTGGAGGAGCTCTAAATCTTAATTTTTCTGATAAGCTGACCAAGGCTTCTCTCTATCCTTCTCTTTATATTAGAACTTTTCTGAGTTACACTTTCCCGAGTGGAATACTAATCCCAACCCCTGCTCGCTCCACTTTGTTGGCGCTCTTCCAATTGAGCAACACATAGAGAAAAATCTAATAATTCGAATGTTCGCTAGGTCAACGGAAAGTTAACAAGAACAGTGAGGCTTTTCATGCATCAAGCTCTTCAAAGGACGGATCTCCTTCGCTTCTCGATATTTATCATGAAAGATTACCAACTCAACAAAAGATATCAAAGAATCCTCAGCGACTTCACAAACAACCGTACCAACACTGTTGCTGCTGTCTGAATACAAGACAGAGGTAGTTACGACAATCGATCCAAATTCCCAAGACGACTCTCCCGAAATCTCCGTGCATCGAAGCTGAACGAACTAGTCCAACCTCCTAGCACAAACTGTAAAAATTCTACAAAGAATCACTAAAGCGCAAGGCCGTCACCCGTTCGACAACGTTGTCAGCCAGAAGCAGAAACCTGTTCCTAAACAGAACCAAACGGTCTCAAACACTCCAGCACCGAGCAAGACAATCTCTCAGTGCTTGACACAATTTTTCCCACAACCGACAGGACTTCGATTCAAAATTCCGCACCGACTAGAAAGGCCAAAATCCGATTGCTTAAATCACAGACAATTGCGCCGCAGGCTACATACAAATCAAGACATCGAACCACCTCGGTTGGCAGTGAGTGAAGTGAACTACTGCAAAATTATGTATCGACCAAGACGCACGAGTTTATACACTTTGGCGGAAAAAAAATGCGGGCCCACCCCCGCCCGATTAGAGGACCATCGGCGAAGAACAGTAATGGAGTAGAGATGTGTTTAAAGAATGTGAGTGCATGTTGAGCCCGGGAGATGCGCATCGGACGGATTTGCCCGCCGACTGCTGTGCATCGAGCGGCCACATGCGGATAAATTATGTTCTTATCCAAGAGTGACGTGCTTCAAGTCGACTTCAAGCCATCGATAAACCAGGCACGCTGCTCTATACCAGAGTCTCCGTTCCTACAGACTAGCTGCATTGCGGTGGAGTAGGCCTTCTCTTCCGTCCTCTTGTCCTGGAAACTTCGCTTCTTCGCTTGGGCTGCGCGTTGTCGGTAATCCAGCTCGTTCATTCATCGAGCTGGAAATTCTGTCCATTCCGGGATGGTTAAATCTTTCATGCTGTTGCATTTGGATAGTTTAAAGTTCCTAACTATTGGAATTTTGATGTGCGCAGAAAATGTCATCCATCCGAAATTCAAGTTATTCGTCGCCAAGTTGCTTGTGTTTTAGACGGATGCATTGCCCAAACACACACAATAGGAGCCACACTCAGTGATCTCACCTTTCCACCGTTGGAAGAAGCAATTACAGCAACCATGAATGAGTTTGGATATGAGACATAGCGCTTGTTAATCATAAATTTCTAGACATGTGTTCACTTAGCATTCTTTTTTTTTATTATTATGATTTATTGAATATATTTAGTATAATTTTATTTAAATATAAAATAGTAACTGAATGCATATTTATTTGGTATTACAATATATATATATATATATATATATATATATATAATTTTAAGTACTATTAAAATATCAAACTAAAATTTATAAGTTATTTTTTTCAACTTTTGCCAAATATCTCTTGTATTATTGATGTATTGTGAGTCACTTAATTGACTCACCTGGGTATTTAGTATAAAAAATACACTTATTGTGCTTAAAATCACAGATTTTGTGAGTTAGTAGTAGAATTTTTAGGAGAAAAAGAAAATAGATTGCTAATATCAAATATGCAATCTAGGGTAGAATTTAAATTTCCATGTTGGAGATGTTTTTTGTATATAACATTTGATGATGGCCCAATGGGAGTAGCTCTCATTGTCGAAAGGAAAAAGAAAATTCTATTTTAATAATAGTTCTTAAAAAATATCTATATATATATATATATATATATATATATCTATACATATATAGATTCATAAAATAAAATAAAAAAACCAAAAGGATAGAAAACAAAATAGAGAATAGCAGAGAAGAAGAAGAAAGAAGAAAAAGAAAGAGGAGAAGAGAAAGAAAGAAAGACAAAAGAAAAAGGAAAAAAAGAAAAAAGAAAATATTTAAAGAAATGAAAGGTGATCGAAAAGGCAAGAGGCTGCCCCAGTTCTCCCTCTTGGAAGTTTTTTTTCTACATTAATGTGAGCAGCTGCAGCGGTGCTGAGGAGAGGACGTCGTCATCCATTCTGATCGGCGACTGGGTGTCAGAGGACCGTAGCGTTTTCGAAGCGATGGACAACAGTTTTTTTTTTTTTTTTTTTTTCCTTTTTTGTTCCTCATTTTCGCTGTGGGCAGCGACCTCTCTCTCTCGGATTTCCGGCTGGTTGCGGGGGTTCTGGAATCGGGGTGTCTGTGCGGCAAAGGCTGCGATGGTGCTCCAAGTTGTCGACTAGGCGTGGTGTTTTGGTTCTTCTCCTTTTGACGAAGGGAATGAATGCGTTGGATGGAGCTCGAGAGAGCGGAAGCAATGGCCGTTTGACATAGTTTTTCTATGTGTCCCTTTTTGTGAGAGTGCTGCGGTGCAGCAGTACCTTCTTAGTTTTTCTTTTGTGTGCGGGGAGTGCCAGGACTGTGTGATCCTTGGCAGTGTTATGGTTGGCGGTGGATCTTGGTTTTAGAACTATTACAGTGTGACCACAGATTCTTTTTTATTCTTGCGGCGAAGTGGTGCGGCGGCGTTGCAGATATTCGACCTGTAGTTGTGCACGGGAAGGCACCTCTACATTTTTTCTTGGTTTTTATTCTAGTTCATTGGGGATTGTTGGTCCGTTCATGGATGGCTGGAGTGGCAGCAGCATTGCAAATCATCGCCACGGCTAGAGCATCGGCACGCTGTGTTGCATGGCGTAGTGCATGACTGCTAGACAACCCTTTGTCCTGAATCGTGGAGCTCCTTGACCAAATCTTGCTGGTAGCGTCAAGTTTTGTGTGTGCATTGCGGTGGATCTGCGGTTGTAGACGTGAGCTGTTCACGTTTAGTGTGGTTGTAAGGAGCTTGGAGAATCTCTTGTTTTTTTTATTATTATTATCTTGAATTTGCTCCTACGAGTCTAGCAATTGGAACGCTGCAATTGATGTACTATTGTATGATAAAGAACCCTCCTTCAAGTTGTTCAAATTCCTCTCTCGTTTTGTAGCCTGAGGTACAGGGCTTATAACACTTTCCTACTCGGATTCGGCGAAGGAGCGTGAGAAGCTTCATCTAGGACTCTACTCCTGATACCGTTTGAGAAATTTTTCAACAAGAGCATTCTCGCTTACGATGCTCGTGCCTAACTTGGGTTGATCAGACATCTTCGTTGCTTTGGCTTGCAAAGTTCTAGACGACACCCTAGACATGATGCTTGCAACCTCGACCTGGTCCTGGATAATAGCGTTGAAGACAATTTTTTTATCAGCCACGGACTGCACTCTATCGGCTTCCTTCCCATTCGAATTCTTGTGGACATCAATGTTTGATAAATTGAAGTTGAGAGCCTTGTCTAGTAGCATGACTAGGCTTTTGAAGGAGAGGTTTGATCTAAGCATCTTCCAAACTGGTGCTGCCAAAGGTCCTGCAGTCACGCGATCTAGCAATTTCGATCCTTGCACTGTCGGCACAAACTTCTCTATGTCACCGCAATCATTCATCGAAATTTGAACACAAGGAAATGAAAATCGGAGTGGTATCAATATCATCATCGATGATTCAGTAGAGTAGTTGATTGTTTGAGATAAAACAGCTAATAGCTGCCGCTGAAGTGATCTTCGGAGGGTATTAAGATTGATGTGAGACGAAGAACGACCATCAGACAGTGGAAAAAAATGCCCTGCTTTGTGTGAAGCAGCTCTTAGTGGTGCTGCTGCGGCCTACCTCGCCTTGATCGGTTATTGCTGTTCCGCCCAGCAAACTGGGATCTTCTTCGAACCACCGTCTAGGGTTGAGCTTCCGGATTGAACAATCCACTTGGACAAAAGTTAGAAACGATGAATTTTATTTAGGGTTTGAGTGAATTGGGATTTTGGATGAAAATACATTGGATGAGTATTTTAATCAAAGATGAAGTTTGAGGCATGGATGAATATTAAGCTTAGATGATAGTTTATTCGTAGACAAAAAGTTAATTGTAGATGATAACTTATATTTGGATGAATTTTTGTCAATGGATAGATCTTTATAAAAATAAAATAAAATAAAATAAAATAAAACAACCAAAACATTAAATTAAATTAAGAATTAAGAGAAGGAATTTTTAAGCATGCATTTTATGAGAGAATTATTATTATAAGTATGAATTAATGCTAGAAGTTGACCTTCATTACTTGGTGTTTAAGAAGATTAGAGAATGATTTAATTAGGATTCAAATAAGAGGTCTAACTTCCAAAATTCACATAGTTAATTCACTTGTTGCAAACTAGAATAAACTTCCAACTAGTGGAGGTTTGTTTTAGCTCACATGTATTGTTTTAAGATTGAATGTCATTCATAGGTTGAAATGAAGATGATTGAGTATATGATTGTAAAACATTACTTAATTACAAATTTTTTTTGAATTTTTTAGATATTTGTGTATTAATATTAATATATGTTTTAAAAAATATAATTATATTTGATCTTTTTAATGATGCTATTATGTTGTTTATCATTCTTTTTCAAATCTAAAGATATCTTTATACAAGGTATATCTACTAATTTATCTGATCTTATTATTTCTAAAATAACTATTGTCTCACATTTCATGTCTTTCAAAGTAAGTTTAATTTTGTGCCTAAATTTTTAAACAAAACATAAAAAATCTCTATATTAAAATGATAATAGATTTAATTAATTATTTAATTTTTAAATTCTTAAATTAAATTTCTATACATTTCTTTCTAAAATTTTTAGTAACATGTGCATAAATAGTATTAAAACTTAACTTATTTTTTCTAAAAAATATTCTTTTATTTAAATCACAAAATCAATACTTTATTTTTTTAAAATTCATAACAAGAACCATATATCAAATATATATTCTAATAAAAGCCAATAATATTTAAAATAAGTTTGTTCTCTTTTTCTTCTTTTATGCTTATTTTAAACTTTAGCTTCAATTTTTTAACCAATTCTTTAAATATGTTATGAAGTAAGATTATACAACCTTGAGATTTTAGTGTATAGATAGTTAAAAATATTTTAGGTAATAATTTTGACTATTTAGTTCTTGCTTTAGCTTTAATACACCATTGTGTTGATTCTAAAATGATCAATTCTTCAACCTTCTTTCAATCACTAATAAGATTAAGACTTTTATTTTTATGCTTTTGAACTAAAAACAATGGTTTCTCATTACATCCTAAAAAACTTATAAGAATAATTTAATCTTCTTAAGATCCAACCATATTTGGACCATTTTAAAAATAAAAGATTCAAAAATCATCTTTTCAAATATTTTTGAAATTTCATATAAAAGTAATTATATTTATAATCTCTACTAAATTTATAATTTAATTTTTTATCTGTTACATAAATTGTATTATATTCTCTAAATATTTGAATTATGCTTGAAATTAGATATTTTCTCTTTTAATATATATATATATATATATATATATATATATTATTAAATACTAAGCTTATAAAATAAATTTGAAATATTAGAATTAGATGATTATTGGTTGAAATTTAATCATGAGTTGTTATCAAAGATAAGAATATAAATAAAATCTAAATTATAATTCTTTATGTATCATTAAAAAAGAAATGAAGTAAAGAAAG